ATGACCTCATCCATGCCAGCTTGGGAGGCCTGTGGAGATCACCAGGAGAATTGCCATAAAAGGAGCCAAAGGCAAAAAACAAAGCTTTAGTAATTACTCCTAGGGTATGATCTCAATATTAAATATATTAGATTTCTTTGTAAATGAGTTTTTTAAAGATCCTTTTAGAAGGCAAAATGGTAAGAGGTTACACTGTGGAGATGATACATATGTGCTTCTAAGATAATTGGGGGAAACGGTTAATATCATACAAGCAGGTACTAAGGGCTTGCAACACAGTTTCCGATGACAGCTTCATCATGCTGTGTCCCAAACAACTAGGTGGAAGTGACAGGGATGAGCTCTGGAAAACTTGTGTTGATGATTCAAAAAGGGGAGCTAGTGATGATGAGGAAAGACCCCATTGTCCCAGGGCATATTAAGATTTGGATAGAATTATTTCATAAGGTATGTGTAAAAAAACCCCAATAGTCTATATTCCTGTATTCTATCTACTCTGACTTGAAATATGATCTATAGGTAGACAACTGACTAATCAACTTCTCTAAAGTTTATATATTCAATTTGTCAAAAAATTTTTCTTTAGGATTTTCTCATTGAGAAATTGGAGGATCACTCTATGCTTCGGGCTGCCTTATCTTCAAGCCTGGAGGTCCCTCAGAGCCTCATTTACGCAGCCTACACGTACTTGCCTTTTCTGATGTGTTCTTTTTTAAGACTGAGCCTGATCCTAAGTGTTTATTTCATCTTCCTTTCCAGACAACTTCTGAGGGCAGGGAGGTCTTCTTTTTCTATTGTAACCCCCCAAATCAAGTTTTGTCCTCCTGCAGTACTGGAAAGCTCCCTGGTCTGTCCTCTCATTTTCCTTGTCTGCAGGATGAGGAGATGGAACAAGATAATCTGTAAGGATCCACCCTGGCTTTAATTTTTTTGAATTTTTTGTTTTTGATTTGTTGAATGCATCTATTGCTTAAAAAAGCTTTTGCCTTTGGTGGGGTTAGGAGTGGGGTGGGGATGGGAATCTGGAGATGGGAATGTTGGAGGTGGAGAAGAGGGTAAATTCCTGACTGCTCATGGTACTATGCAACTCTGGGCATCATAAAACCCAAGACACATGCTAAAAATTTAAAAAAGTTAACAAATTTAAAAATCTGTTCTATTCATCCATCCATCTCTTCCTATAAGCGAGATTTACCCACCACCTGTAGATACCAAGCACTGTGCTGGGTGCTGAGGACTCAGAGATGAATACGATGGGGAACCTGCCTCTGGGGGCTCAGCTCCTGGGTCAGAGAGAGGCACACACCAGCCAGTCTGTCTGGTCTCAGGACACAGAAGGCCCTTAACTCCAAGGGGAAGGAGAGAGGAGAATGGAAGGTCCCACCCAGGAAGACCTGTTTGAGTCTATTCTTGATGAATAGGTAGGAATTTTCTAGGTAAACAAGGGATTAGGGCCGAGAGAACATTAGGGGAGGAAACCTCGTGCATAGGCTGAGAGGTGAGATGAAACACAGTATGTTCCGGAAACGAGAGAGTGGCTCTCTGGAGAGCAGGTTCTGTGAAGCTGGAAAGAGGCACAGCAGGATCAGTAAAGACCACGGAGCTGAAAAGCAAATGTGGGCGGAGTGGTCAGAACCACTGGACGCAGCAGGCCCTGCACTGCCAGGGCTGCCCCTTAGTGGATCGCAGGGGATGGGCAGGAGCCGCTGGAAGCCACACTGAAGAGGAGAGGCCCCAGAGAAGGACAGGCGGGGATGGGTGCGCTTGGCAGCAGACCTGGGAAGTCTGGCAGAACCGGCCAGCACAGGAGGAGTGTGATATGAGCACTCAGGAAAGATGCCTTGCTGCCAGATCCTTTCGTCAGATTCCACCCCAGGGGATCTTTTCTTTGGCCGAAGTAACGAGACTTAGAAGTTATGTGAAAATGGATTCTGCTTGAGAAAGAGAGACCTCCCCTTCAGGTGTTGCTGTATGTGGTTAGAGCAAATGCACGTGCTGCGGGGAGGGCAGGCTTCAGAGCTAACTCAGACGAGGGCAGAGAGAGCGAGAGATTCTAGGAAACACTGCTCTGAGCTCCAGGCTCAGGGTGTTTTGAAGTAGGCAGTTAGTGAGGGGGGAAGCTTGAGGGCACTAGATGGTGGTGGGGAGACACAGAGGCAGACAAGGAGCGGGAGAGAAAACTCAGAAAGGAGAGGGAAGCCGCAGTGCAGGACTATACAAGCGGGCCGCAGGCCTCGGGCATCTGATCATCAAGGCTTTTGCTAAAAGCGCTTGGGTACAGTGACTACACACAGCCAAGAATGTGGGCTTTGGAGTCTGGTTAGAGTTGGAACCCCATCCTGCTACTTGTCAACCATCTGACTCTGAGGCAAGTCGTTCAACCTCTCTGAGCCTGTGAGTCTGTAAATGGTTCTGATCTTTCTCTCATAAGTTTTTAAGGATTTAATGACCCAATGAAAACATTCCATAGATGCCATGTGTTTATTCACCTTTCTACACGCCGCACCAGTATGTGGCCCCCAGTAGGTAATCAGAAATGTCTTGGGCATGCAGGGAACAGCCCCTCACCCCAGCAACATGAGCAGCCAACAATTTCCAGTCACAATCCTAAAGAGCGGAACTTAGATTTTTCTCCGAAGTCCTTTCCCAGGCTCTGATGCTGCTGGGCAGCCCAGGTGTTTTAAGTCTAGAGTGAAGGAAGCGCAAAATTCACACCGCCTCTGACCTATCGCGAGGAGTGGTTGCCTTTTCACTTTTTGAATGCTTGCACAGAATTGTTTTCTATTGTCAGAATTTCAGTGCTTTTACCTTTTTACTTAAACATTCCCTTTTAGGCCATTCATTTAAAAGGATGATCCCTTTACTGGAAGCTTATAGAACCAATTCCAGAGAAATTTATATTCATTTAAAAGCTATCACTATTGAAGGTATTATGCTAAGCGAAGTCAGTCAGAGGGAGAAAGTCAAATACCATATGATGTCACTTGTAAGTAGAAGATACAAACAACAACAAACAATCAGAGACAGAGATTGGATTGGTGGTTACCAGAGGGGAAGAAGGGAGGGAGGTGGGCAAAAGGGGTGATCAGGCATGTGTATGGTGATAGATTGTCATTAGTCGTTGGTTGGTGAACATGATGTAACCTACACAGAAATTGACATATAATGATGTACACCTAAAATATATAATGTTATAAACCAATGTTACCACAATAAAAAATAAATAAAATAAAAGCTATCACTAGCCAACAGGCTTTTTTCTGGCAAAAGTCAAAACTGCGGGAAAAACAATTTCTCATAGGGACAGGATCCAGATTGTATCTTGGACCCATTAAGACTGTTCTAGCAAAGGGGGCCTCAACTGAGTCATACCGTGGGTCTCATTCAGTGTTTGAATTAAGTGCTTTCAGGGATAAACTACTTCTGATTTCTCAGTTACTCTGGCTACTTTCTGGAAACGACTGTCCACAGCCCTGGCTGAAGAGGCAGTGGGAGTGAAAAACACTTGATCTGAGTTGTTTTCCCCAATTTTATTTTGTATGTGAGGATTCCCACCATGTGTCTCACCATGTTATCCTGGTAAGATTCCAATTTCATACAAATGCATAAATGTATAAACCAAATAAAAGTAAAAATAAAAAAATTTAAGTGGGGGATAATCCTCACTAAAAATATTCAAGAATGGTAAGAATTCTAGTTACATTTTTCTAACGTATAAAATGATATAACCATAGTCACAAGGAATAAATGTAAAAGAATGAGGTTTTGAATGTCCACAGATTTCTAAAACCACGTTATGCCTTCCCATGTGTTTAAAACCTTTAGCAGCTGAAAGTAACTATAATCTAAATAAATGTTAAACTTTGAATTTAAAGGTAGATTTTCTCCCTCAATGGAGACAGAACTGTTTTAAGCTGTTGAGAAACCAAGTAGCCTTTCTAAGGTCTTTCTGGGTCATCCAAGAGCCAGCCTAAGTGAGCAGCAACAGGGACTCGAGGCGTTTATCTTCCCTCTGCTTCCTGCCCTTTCTTCTTTTTCCACCCCAGTTCTCCTTTTCTCCTACTCGTCTGTTTATCAACTAGCCCAAGACTTGGACTTAAATACGTAAGAGCACAGTTTGTTGTACTAAGTTTTATATTTATAATCTGAAAGCATGGAAGAAATGTTTTACATTACTTTAAAAAGTTAAAATTGTTTCTCTGCCTCTAGGCTAGGGAAAGAGAATGCTGAGGGAGCCTGGTAATCTTGGAAGCAGGATGGACTAGATCCATAAAACAAATTAGGAGAAGACAAGAGGTACCACAAAGAAGTCAGGCTGAGCCTGTAAGCGCCATAGCCAAATATGATTCTAAACAAAGGAACCCCAAAGCCAAGGTATTATTTCTATAGCCTTTAGTATATACGTGAAGGGATGAAGGTAACTTGTTTTCTGGTTTGTGAATTTATTTTTGACTCACTGCATAGTTTAGATAAAATCACAATGTGAAGACACGTAACTCCAACAGTTCAAATATTCTTCCAGGTGGAATTGTTGACTAAGTTAGTTTCATACACTACTACGCAGCAACCTCAGGGGTTGCAGTGGGGTGCTATGCATCAACTGGCTTCATGCCTCACTGTGACAAGGACTACACTCCAGCAGTGTGGGCACAAACAGGCCACAAGATGGCGCAGCACCTCTGTACTTGGCTGGTCCCTTAGTAACCCAGTAGGAAAAAATATCCACCGGGAGGTAGGATGTTGGGATTCTAGAACTCATCTTAAAAAGTCTGGAAAACCGGTAAATGAATTTGCCATCTCCAAATCCACTCTATATATTATTAAAGCCAAGATAGTATGTTTATTTTCTTCTGAATCCTATTCCATTATGCTACAAGAGCATTTAAAAAGGCACAGAACTCATAAGCATCTAGTTGACACTAAGACTCAACACCAGTAGTGATAACTGTTACTTCAAACGTTACATGTGATGAGATCAGATAGTAGCGACCACACAGAAAAAATCTGAACAAGAATTTATTTAAATTTACTTAAAGGATTAGAGCTGATATATAGGAGAACACTTACAATAACTTTTAGAGTTATGTCAACATAAAAGCAATTAGCTGTGGTTACGATAGCACATGCAATTCACTGCAAACGTAAAAATACGTACATTACTCTCTCTAGACAAGGCTTCTATGTGAAGTTAGATTAGACGGGGGTAAAAGAGCAAGTGAACTTGAAAGGATTGCACTTAGAAGTAAATGGGACACAGCTAGTATTTAAAAAGAGGAGACACACCTAATGCTAATCACTGTATTGTAGTACTAGCAAATTGCACACTTATTTTTTGAGTATATTATTCAATATACATATACATTAAGACTAAAGAATTTCAAACATCCACCTTTAAAGTATCCCTTTATTTCTGACCATCACATTTTGCTATTCATATAACAGCATTTGAAACACGTAGTTATCATCCAAAGTTTGTGTTTATGGGACAAAAGACCTGGACCATCTATCCCCACTGGCCTTAAATGCATTTCCATCATCATCTATCAACTTGAAAGAACGACTGGGTAACGAAGGGAAACTAACCCATTTGAAGGAACTATTGACTGAAAGAAACTCTTAAAAATTTAGGAAAAAATGCCTAACAGAGAGCTCACCCAGAGCTACCTTCCCTTTATTTTTAATGCAGTGTATGCTAGAATATCATGCTAAGACACATACTAGTAGCACATATGATTAAGAAATAGATTAATCCGAAAGATATGACATCTGGCTTTGGAAAGTTTTATTTTGTCTTACATCTGAATTCTGTTTATGGAAAGACTGAAAAGGAACTGCTGTCAAGGACTTGTCCAAAGAATTAGGCTCTAGGCTTCCTGGTTTATACTTTCTTTGAAATCAATGAAAATATCCAGTTTTAGGCTAAACCTAAATACCTTGCTATTTCATGGCTTCATCTTCTCAACTTACAGAAAAGTGCAAAAAATTTTTTTAAAGTAATCTTACCCGGGCAATAGAACCTGACACGACCTACAATACAAAGCTATCCAAAGAATTTTTAACAATGAAATTTTAAGTTTTCTGTAGCTTATTATTTTGACATTTTACCCATTTCAACAAAATAAAACTAGTGAAACAGAAGTGTATGGTTTAGGAATTTGTTCTCAAAATCCAACGGAGGAGGAGAATGATGTGAAATAGAAGAGAATGGAGGAAGAGCTCACCTACTTAATTTACACTGGTCAATGTGAGCCAGGTAATAGAAATATTTCAGGGAATTCGACTATGTAATTATTCTACATTTAAGGCATGATTTTAACTAGTTAAGGGTGTGTGGGTAGAAAATAGACATCTTTTAAAATTTGATTTCTGTTTATAAAGCTGTTTTAGATGTTCCACTTTATGAGCGTTCATAAATGTTTTAAAGTATACTTCGACTTCATTAACCTTTAATTTCACGATAAGCTAGGGTCACTGGATAACGTGTAAAATCTCTTATCAAGGAATAATGTTGAGGGGCTGGCCCCATGGCCAAGTAGTTAAGCTTTGGCGGCCCAGGGTTTCGCTGGTTCAGATCCTGGGCGCGGACATGGCACCGCTCATCAAGCCACGCTGAGGCGGCGTCCCACATGCCCCAACCAGAGGCACTCACAACTAGAATATACAACTATGTACTGGGGGGCTTTGGGGAGAAGAAAAAAAAAAGATCGGCAACAGTTGTTAGCTCAGATGCCAATCTTAAAAAAAGAAAAGAAAAGGAATAATGTTGAAATTATACAGACAACTAGGTAGAGAACAGATGTGAACACAAAACGTGAATGATTTTGCTTTTCCTCCTGCATCTACTTACATGTTGGGTATGTTTGTGAGTGCTGACTGATCCATGTTAAAAAAGGATTAAATTTTTACATTTTAATGGTTTTGAAGTTGGATAGTTCTCCAATAGTTATTCAGCATCATGCCTTTATGAGGGATGGGGACAGGACACCAAAGACATCAGTAACTAACAGTCACATTACAACAGCAGTACATGTAACACATGCTTATTTTTTTTAATCCTACAAGCGGACAACTGCATCAGACACAGTAAATTAGTTTTGTCCACAAAGAGGCTGTTTTCTGATATGGTAGCATTACTTTAAACTAAATTTTTGGATATAAAGATTTAATGAGTAATAAATCCACTAACGTAGACTAATTTTCACATAAATAAACCAGATTTGTTTCTCTGCCTACCTAAAATACAATTTACATGCATCAAAACATAGATTATTCTAAGATATGCCTTAGGAAAGTAATTTTGTACTTAAGTTTCATGATTGCTTTTCTCTTTTTGGGCAAAAGATGTATGTTATATATTGGTGACCAAATATAGATTTATTTCTTGAGTGGATTTTTACACAGTAATCACGTATCCATTTAATGTCCAAAGTGATCTTGGGGCTGGGAGGCATTCCCTCACTGCACCATGTTCTATACAAGTTTCAACAGACAAATTTGCTTGCACAATGTCCTTTCTTAAATGACTCTTCATTCTTATTCCCTTAGATCATGAGTTCACATTTCAAAGTGCCCCCCACCATGTACAAACTTCACACTAGAATGTTCTTCTCAACTCTCCTATTTGTTATAAGGTGAGAGCTAAACATGATTACAATCAAGCGATTACTTATTTTGAGGAAATAAAAAATTTAATAGATTAGATATAAATTTCATGACAGACATTTAGGAAGATAAATGTAGTCCTGATTTGGACCAGATTTTGACAACCAACTTAAATGGTGGTGATGCCATTGTCCTGTAGTGTGTCTGGAGTCTCTCTGTCCCTACTTGACCTCTCTGTGCCTAATTTTCCTCATCTACTTCTAATTCTGTAATTCTACAAATCTCACGCTGGTTGTGCCGAAAGTAGAACTGGATATATCAGAATAAAGCATCTGCTCTGTGTCACAAAGACCATATTTGTGAAAGAACTCATGAAAATTATTAGGCAAGAATACAAAGGATAAAGTGTAACAGGAAGTCTCATGTGAACAATATTCTGAAAGAGTAATGAGTAGAATCCTATTTCAACTGTAAATGGGTACCAATGTTTCTTGGCATTTTATTCTTCATAACCTCTACAAACTATTTTAAGTTGACCTGGTTTCTTTAACTTAAATATGACAGAAAAACAAAACCTATATTCTCCAAACTACTTGATAGCAGTAGTCAACCACTAATGATTTATGACAACTTCTTCTCACTTACTCAGCTCCTATCTTTAACCCCCTGCCTCCTTGTCAAATGGAAATGGCATAAGTGCAAAAGGGGGTTTAGCACTAAACTCTGCAGGCCTGGCTCACTTCTCCACTGAAGAACAGAACATGTGGAAAGGGTTTAAAATATTACTAAATCACAATGTAAAACTAAGTTCCACCTACCTCAGAACTGGCAGATATTAAAACACTATTCATTAAGTGCCTCTACAATAAGGATATTTGCTAACCGTGATATTTACTAAGATCAATATGTACATTTTGGGGGTTGTGTTTTGGTGAGTATTGCCCAAGTCTTCTAATTAGTTTGCTTCAAACACTTACTAGAAAAAAAGAACATTTTTGATCTCAGCCTACTTAAAAATAAAAACAAAGAATATTAAATTAAAACACATTTTAAGCCAAAGACATATTATATAAAGTGCTTCATCAACCAAATTCTCTGAAGTCTTAACAAGAAGGCTCAATAATGTTTATATACACACATAGAAAATGTTAACAATTTAAACCTTTATAAATGACAAAGAATTTTTTAAATGCTTAAGATAGCTTGTGGCATTCCTTCCTAGCTCTCATCTGGACACTCTAATGACTTTGTGAAATAGATCTTCAGAGAGGCTGTCAATAATGATAGAAAATTTTTTGAAAATCTGTTAAAATTTGTTAAGATTATGTAACATTCAAAAATTAATATTTTTAATTTGCCAAGTTAAAATTCCTGAATTCCTTTTCTCCAGTAACTGGCAGCATTATTACCAATGGAAGAAAACTTATTTTATATGTTGGTATGATTTTAAATGAGTCCATTTGTTGTGGGTTTTTCTGTCAGACAATAAAAGCTGCGCTCATATAGTTATGCCGTCTGAACCTCTTTTTAAATTACGTTGGCAGCTGAAGTAGTGGGTTTAGACTTTGCTCCCCTAATTTTTTCTATTAACTCTCCCGAAGCCACTTTGATGACTATTATCACTAAAATCAGGATAGCTGTGCTCACTGCTTACTATTTAAATACTCTCTGTTTTCTAGGTAGCAAAACAAAAAGTTTTACTTTATAAATTTCAGACAAGCTTTCTGTTCTTCTTCAGTGCAAACATCCTAAAACAGCACAAAGTCATTCAGCTATTCAGAGGATGAAGTCAGTTTATGTAGTGCTTAAAGTAGAATCCCAGATATTCTGGAAAGGAAACAGCCCATGTGGGAGGACAGTACATTTTCAACATCTTCAGTGGGTGAAGATTATTTTTATCTGAAATTCCAGATAAAATATTTTTAGCTTTACTTTACAGGTACTGCTGAAGTTGTAACAGAAATAGTCTTTCACTGAGGCATGTAGCCACCTTGTCTTACAGTCTGTGGTAAGTAACTTTTAGGCATTCCTTCATCAAGCGCAGCCTCCATCCCAACTGTTTCAAATCTCTCTACTTGTCCCTCAGTACCTAGACCAAAAACATTTGCTGTAGGAACTTCTTGAAACATTTTCATTTGCCCAGATCCATTGGACTGTGAAATATGATCTGAAATCTGCTGCTGTTTAAGTCTAACAAAATCTTCTTCATTGACTGATGAACCTTGCTTTGACCTTTCAAAATGTGAAATAACTGGACTGGTTTCATGTTGACTACAGTTTTGTTTGAAATACTGTTGTCTGGGCAAAATGCCATCACTGCCCTCTACATTATCTACCAGCTGTAGATCTTCTGGCCGTTCTTCGGAATCTAACAAAGGCTGGGTAGACTCGGATCTTGAGAAGACTTGGACTGACGGAACCTGGTGTCTGTAGCCACTGTGCACCACAGTGGAATACTGGACAGTGCTCGAAGTGTTTTGTGCAGATTCATTTTCATCACTGCTAGAAATGCTTGGCCTAGAAGATGACATGCACGAAGACCCTCCAATACCACTGCTGTGTCCTTCAGTACTAATTTTTTCCTTCTTGAATAGCTCCAATGATTTCAGATCTTCTGTAAAGGGCTTTCTGTCGTTTGCTTCTATTTCCACAACACTTACATCAGTGAAATTGCCATCTGAATACATTTGATCTTTTGGATTAAAATTATGCTAAGAAAGACAGAAAAAGGATTATACACTGGTATATATTCATTCAGAAACACTGAAATACATACATATGGCAAATATTAGTCAAAGCATCTCTGAAACTTCTCAGTAACCTTCCATGGTACAGGGATAAGCTATATCACTAAATCACTGTCAACTACCTGAATCACAGATATTGTGAAATGATTCTAAAAAGTATAAATCAGGCTGTATTTCCCCAGAATTCCAAATCAATATAATTGGTGTTACATTTTGATAAGTTAAGGGTCTACAAATAGTATTTCACATTTTATTCATGCCTAGACTAGGATTAATTCGACAGAAAAACTAGGAAACATTAAGAAAAATCAAACTCAAATGACTGAAATTTCATAGAATATGAAATATACGATGCATTTTAATCTGTTAATATAAAATTTAGGATTATTAGAAGGTAATAAATACAAATCATTTCTCCTTAAGGAAGTTCGAAGATATTAGCGTAGGATTCCAGAAATCATATCATCAATGTTAAAATGGTAGACTGTTAAATTAGATTTTAACATCCAATCCAAAATGCTTGCCTTAGAACAGAGTTAACACATAGCAGTATTAACACTCTGGACTTGCAAATTGAAAACTTAAATATTTTTAATGTTTACTGAATAAAATTAGGAATTAGAACAAATATACTATGATGATGATAAACTCCTTCAATGTGTAGGTATTATTTAAAATTTTCATCTATGTACTATTTTGTTTGTGTTTACTTTTTGATTCAGTCTCTCTTTTGGTTGAACTGTACAACTGTATTGTAATATGCTGTGTATTATAAACAAACCAGAAACATTTTATCTTACCCTTGGAGGTGTGTGAGGGGACCACTGGGCAATATGACTCTTTGAAGGATCTGGAACATTAGGCCAGATGTGTTTTTTTATTCTGGAGAGAAAAGAAATACGGCATATGTAGACCCACATATAATGAACAATGAATATGCCCTATTTCTAAACATGTTCATCAAAGAATCTTAAGAATCAAACTGGGGCTGGCCCCGTGGCCGAGTGGTTAAGTTTGCACACTCCGCTTCAGCGGCCCAGGGTTTCACCAGTTCAGATCCTGGGTGCAGACATGGCACTGCTCATTGGGCCATGTTGAGGCGATGTCCCATGTGCCACAACTAGAAGGACCAACAACTAAAAAATACGTAACTATGTACTGGGGGGATTTGGGAGGAAAAAGCCAAAAAAAAAAAAAAAAAAAAAAGAATGAAACCAATTAAATAAACCCAAAAATACCTACTATACCCCAAACCCAACAAAAAAATTATTTTTCTTATAACCAATATAAAAATACTGTTAAAAATGCATAAGGATCTTAATCTAGTCATAATAAAAAATTGTTAAGGCTAGAGAGGAGCCTGGAAAGACTGCGGTGTAGGAGACTATGAACTCACCTCCCACAGACAAAACAAATTTACAACTACCCTTGGAACGATTACCCCTGAGAGAGAACTGAAAACTGGATAAAAAGAACCCCCACAATAATGGACAGTACTGGATGAGGTGGAAGAGGCAGAAACTCCTTTCTGGAGAGGAAAAAGCCACATTTCAGCTGTGACACTTCACAGCCAGGACCAATCTTAAGGTATGAAGCTTTCCCTGAAGGAGTGGGGGATCTGAAAAGGACAGCTTTGCCACAATAAGCAGCTTTTGAACTCAACACAACCAAGATGAGTGTCATAATATCTGGCTTTGCTGGCTATTAACAACAATGGGGAATACCCCCAGAAAAGCTATCAGACATAAGAGAAAGAAAAGTCTGCTCTAAAAGGCTCTTGCACAAATTCACCCATTTTGGAAAGAAACCTAAAATCACCAGAAAGAAAGGTGCGCAGTCCTTTGGTGAAAAGAGACTCACTTGATAGGCTCTGGGCGTTTCTCAGCGAGGCAGGAGGTGGCTGAGACCGCCTCCCCAGGGACTCAGACATTGGCCACAGCCATTATTGTGACATAGTTCAGGTATGCTGACACAGATGCTGGCGGACACCACTGGAGTTCTTCCCCTGGCCTATTAGCACAGGAGTCTGCCCCACTCACTAGAGCACTGATTTAATCCAACTCAGCCAGGGCAGGCAGCCCATCCTACGGACTGGCCCCAAGCAACAGTAAGCCCTCAGGCAACTTGTGGGCCCACATACAGGACGTGTCTGGGGCTTCTGCAGCAGGGCGAGTGGGTCTGCTTCAGTGAGTCAAGGCATGTGCCCGGGGTAGAACTATGTTTATGGAGTGTATGGGCCTGTGGGTGGTGGGGCTTGTCAGCTGCAGCAGACTTGTGCTTCTCAAACAGCCACACAGAGGATCAGCCCCACATTCCAATGCCTGAAACAACTGGGTGCTCTCATGCCTGGGACTGGCCCCACCCAGCTGTGCTACTGAGAGAGCTGAAAACAGCTTTGCAGGCTGGAGGCCTATAGCAATTGGAGCGTCTGAGCCTAGCAACCAGCCATGCTGGGGGCCTATTCCCTTAACAGAAAAACTGCAGTAGGAATGAGCTATTAGACCCTGAAGCCAACTGTGCTGGGGCTCCCTGTGCCTGATAAAGTGACTGAAGGGAGTGTAGCAGCTGCATGCAGCTAAGCATTACAACCAGGCAGCCAGGGGGAAAGACTAGTCTCCCTGGGCACCTGCAGCAAGAGGAACCCGACCACAACAGAAGGACACATGTAGCTCACACAGGGGACACTCCTGGAACATCCGGAACTGGTGACAAGATGCAAGCAAACTGCTGGGCCTCAAAAGGCATCTCTTATATAAAACCACTTCTCCAAGACTGGGAGAGGTAGCTGATCTATCTAATATATAGATATAAGCACAGAAAAAGCAGCAAAATGAGGAGACAAAGGAATATGTTCCAAATAAGGGAACAGGACAAATCCTCAGAAAAAGAACTAAATGAAAGAGAAAACAGAGATAAACAATCTATCTCATAAAGAGCACAAACTAATAGTCATAAGGATGGTCACTGATCTTGGGAGAAGAATGGATGAATTCAGTGACAACTTCAAAAAAGAATTGGAAAATATAAAAAAGAACAATCAGAACTAAGAATACAATAATGGAAATGAAAACTTCAGTAGAGGGACTCAATAGCAGAGAAGAAGATATAGAAGAACAGATCAGCAAGCTGGACGAAATACTAGAGGAAATCACCCAAGCTGAAAAGAAAAAAGAATTAAAAAGAATGAGGACAGTCTAAGGGGAACTTTGGGACAACATCAAGTGCAATAACATCTGTATTACAGGTGACTCAGAAGGAGAAGAAAGAGACAAAGGGGCAGAAAATCGATTTGAAGAAATAATAGCTGAAAACTTTCCTAACCTAAGAAAGGAAACAGACATCCAGGTACAGGAAGCACAGAGAGCACCAAACAAGATAAAGCCAAAGAGGCCCACATCAAGACACATTACAATTAAAATGTCAAGAACTAAAGAGTGAATCCTAAAAGCTGCAAGAGAAAAGCAACAAGTGACATACAAAGGAAACCCTATAAGGCTATCAGCGGACTTCTCAGCAGAAATTTTACAGGCTAGAATTCTAGGGAGTGGCAAGACATTAAAAGTGCTGAGAAGAAAAAACCTACAGCCAAGAATACTCTACCTGGCAAGGTTATCATTCAGAATGGAAGGAGAGTGAGTTTCCCAGGCAAGCAAAAACTAGAGGAGTTTATCACCAATAAACCAGCCTTACAAGAAATGCAAAAGGGACTTTAAGTGGAAAAGACCATCAATAGGAATAAGAAAATTATCAAAAACAAAACAATAAAACCACAGAATACACACTCTTTTCAAATGCACATGGGACATTCTCCTAGATAGATCACATATTAGGCCACAAAACAAGTCTCAATAAATTTAAGAAGACTGAAATAACACCAAGCATCTTTTATGACCACAACGGTATGAAACTAGAAATCAACTACAGGAATAAAACTGAAAAGCCACAAATATGTGGACATTAAACAAAATGCTACTGAACAACTATTGAGTCAATGAAGAAATCAGAGGATAAATAAAAAAATACCTGGAGACAAATGAAAATGAAAATACGACATGCCAAAATCTATGGAATACAGCAAAAGTGGTTCTAAGAGACAGGTTTAGAGTAATACAGGCCTACCTCAACAAACAAGAAAAATCTCAAATAAACGATCTAACAGTATACCTAAAGGAACTGGAAAAAGAAAAACAAACAAAGCCCAAATCAGTAGAAGGAAGGAAATAAAAATCAGAGCAGAAATAAGTGAAATAGAGGCTAAAAAAAAAAAAGAAAAAAAATCAATGAAACGAAGATAAGGTTTTTTGAAAAGATAAACAAAATTCACAAACCTTTAGTTAGAGTCACCAAGAAAAAGAGAAATGAAAGAGGAGAAATTACAACAGGTATCTCAGAAATACACAAGATCATAAGAGAATACTACAAAAAGCTATACAACAACAAACTGGATAATCTAGAAGGAATGGATAAGTTCACAGAATCTGACAACCTTCCAAAACTGAATAGAGAATCTGAATAGACCAAACACCAGTAAGGAGATCAAAACAGTAATCGAAAATCTCCCCCAAAATAACTAGCCCAGGACCAGATGGCTTCCCTGGTGAATTCTACGAAACACTGAAAAAAGACTTAATACTTCTCAGGCTGTTCCAAAAAATTGAAGAGGAGGGGACGCTTCCTAACTCATTCTATGAGGTCAACGTTACCCTGATACCAAACCAGAAAAGGACAACACAAAAAAAGAAAATTACAGGCCAATACCTGATGAATATCGATGCAAAAATCCTCAACAAAATACTAGCAAATCGAACACAACAATACATTAAAGACATCCTACACCACGATCAAGTGAGATTTATTCCAGGGACGTAGGGATAAACATCCACAGATGAATCAACGTGATACACCACATTAATGAAATGAAGAATAAAAATCACATGATCATCAATAGATGCAGAGAAAGCATCTGACAAGATACAGCATCCATTTATGATGAAAACTCTGAATAAAATGGGTATAGAAGGAAAATACCTCAACATAATAAAGGCCATATATGAGAAACCCACAGCTAATATCATACTCAATGGAGAAAACCTGAATGCTATCCCTCTAAGAACAGGAACCAGAGAAAGATGCCCACTTTCGCCACTCTTATTTAACATGGTACTGAAAGTCCTAGTCAGAGCAATCAGGCAAGAAAAAGAAATCAAGGGGATCCAAATTGAAAAGGAAGAAGAGAAACTGTCACTATTTGCAGATGACATGATTTTGTATATAGAAAAGCCTAAAGAATCCACTAAAAAACTTTTAGAAATAATAATACGGTAAAGTTAAGGATACAAAATCAACATACAAAAATCAGTTGCATTTTTATACACTAACAATGAAGTAGCATAAAGAGAAATTAATAACACAATCCCATTTACAATTGCAACAAAAATAATAAAAAACTTAGGGATAAATTTAACCAAAGAGGTAAAAGACCTATACACTGAAAACTATGAAACACTGTTAAAAGAAATTGAAGATGACACAAATAAATGGAAAGATATTCTATGCTCTTGGATTGTAAGAATTCACTTAGTTAAAATGTCCATACTTCCTAAAGCAATCTACAGAGTCAATGCAATCCCTATCAGAGGTCCAACAATATTTTTCACAGAAATAGAACAAAGAATCCTAAAATTTATATGGAACAACAAAAGACCCCAAATAGCTGAAAGAATTCTGAGAAAAAGAACAAAGCTGGAGGTATCACACTTCCTGATTTCAAAATATACTACAAAACTGTAGTAATCAAAACAGCATGGTACTGGCACAAAAACAGAAATACAGATCAATGGAACAGAATTAAGAGCCCAGAAATAAACCCACACATCCATGGA